GAGACCCGGGGGTGAAGGTTGAGCTGATGCGCCGCGTACCTCACCGCAAACGGCCACAGAAAATGGGGGGCAGCCGCATGCATCATGGACGTACGAGCGACATCCATGACCATGCCAATGCGGCGCTCAGCAATCCCATTTTGCTGTGGTGAGTCCGGAAGCGTGAAGGTCTGGCGGATCCCCCGTGCACGACAGTAGTCTCGCAGAAGGCGAGAAGAGAACTCTCCGCCTCTGTCCGAGTGCAGACGCAGAACCGGGAAGTCAGAGCCGAAGCTCTTCCTGAGCTGGAGACGAGCCTCGCGGATCCAGTCGATCAGCACCTCAGTGACCGCACCCTTGCTGCGCAAGGGGAGGACTGTGGTGTAACGCGAGTAGTCGTCAACCACCAACAGGAAGTAGCGCTCGTGACCCTGCCCACGGACGGGGGCTGGGCCCCACACATCCATGTGAAGCGTCTGCAAGGGAGCCTCTGTCGGGGGGAAGTGGGAGGAGTGAGGAGTAGCCCGGAGGCGACCCTCGACACAGGGGACACAGGAAGGTCCTTGCCCGGAGGGGAGAGGAGGGAGAGACTGGGGAAGACCAGAGACAAGGACACGGGAAGCCATGCTCCGAAGACGGGGCAAGGAGGGGTGGCCAAGACGGTGGTGCCACAGGAGAGTCTCGTGAGACAGGAGGCGACAAGAACAGGGGGCAGACTCAGGACCTGACCGGGACGCAGCAGCAAGCACCTGACCTGACGCAGGGACAGGAGGAGACTCAACGGTCAGGGTGTAGAGACTCGACCCCGGCCGACGCGAGAACGTGGCCAGGTGTCGGCCTGTGCGTGCCTCCGTGCAGTGGGTCACCCGCTGACTCGCAGGAGTGAACTGGTGAACCCCCACATCCTGCAGGTCCGCGCCACTCACCAAGTTCGTAGAGAACGAGGGAAGGTACAGACCAGACAGGGTGCCCGAAGGGGCAGCCGGACACGGGAGGACAGTGGAGAAGTGAGACAGGACAGGACCCCCAGAGGGGTCAGCAAGGGAGACTGCAACCGGCCGGTCGAGCGGCGTAAGGGTAGTGCGGTCTCGAAAGAAGGAGCGAGAAGCCCCGGAGTCAAGTGTGAAAGTGAGGGAGGACGAGGACGACGCAGTACCTGAGAGCGCAGTCTCACCAGTACCTGAGAGTGCAGACGCACTGGCACCTAGAGCAGCAGCCTCACAAGCACCTAGCGCAGCAGTACCAATGCCCAGGTCGGGCTGGAAACACCGGTAACCCTCATTCTCCTCACTATAAGTCACAGCATACATAGCAGCAAGGATAGCATCAAAGTCAAGATCAAAGATCGCTACACCCGCCCTAAGAAGCTCATCCCAGCGAGGGATCTCAGTAGCCCCAGGGAACTGCTGACGCCAAGCGTCCGTCAGGCGGCCAAAGCAGCGCTGGGCAGCGTGGGCACCCCCACACTGCTCACCCGCGCGGTCGCCGGAACGAAGAACGTAGGTGCAGGGACCAGTACCCCCACCCCTCTGACGCTGCGCGTACCACTTACGAAGCTGCTGAGGCGGAGGGATGTCCCGCGAGCGCTGCTGCTGCTGCCGCTGCGAGCGCTGGCCACCACCACCGCCGCTACGCTGCTAGGTACCACCCCGACCAGCTCCACCTCCTCCACCACCACTGCCTCCTCCGCTGCCGCCTCCACCGCCTCCACCTCCGCCGCCTCCACCTCCGCCGCTGCCGCCACCACCACCGCTGGCACCACTACCACCGTCTCCGCCGCTGCTGCCACCACCACCACCACCACCCCCGCCACTAGTCCCGCCGCCACCCCCACTCCCTCCGCCGCCACCGCCGCCACCGCCACCGCCCCCTCCAGCTCCACCCGCGCCCTTGCCCCCCTTGCCCTTGCTGGAGCGACGTCTCCCACTAGGGGCAGACGCCGCGCCGACCGACTCAAGACCAAGCAGGTCGGCAGCAGCAGCAGAGGCAACAGAGGGCAGCAAGGGGGAAGGAGAGCACCCCTCAAAGATGGGGGTGCGAGGGTCACCACGAGAAGCACCTACAGCGACTATGCTCTTCTCCGCTGCGAGGAGGGCCTTCTCGAGGAGGTCGACGGTGAGGGTGGTGGGACAGACTGCGAGAAAGTGGTCCCTGACGACGCGAAGGGAGTCAGGGAGGCGCGCGACTACGTAGTAGAGAGCGATGTACATGGGGGGTGGGTTCTTAGCGCAGAACTCAGCAGGAAGGGCGGCGCGGTAGCGAGTGTCACTAGTGCGGAGGTGCGTAATGAGATCAGCGACAGTGGGAAAGGCAGAGAGGTCAGGAAAGAGGTAGGGAAGCATGAGACGGCTCAGTGCAGCAGTGGCAGGGGAGGAGTAGCGCGCAACTACAGCGTCGTACAAGGTCTGAGCACTCTTGTACTGACTAAAGTGCGCACGCTCAGAGGTAGGGAGGTGGCGACGCACAGCAAGACGTGCAGCAGCATCGCGGGTGGCCCACTGAGAGCGGACAGTGGGATCAGCATCAGCAGGAGGAGCAGGAGAGGCGCCAGAGGTGAGGTCAAAGAGAGAAAGGCCGTCAGCCCTGTCGCACTGTAAGAACAGCTGCAGGTCGTCTAACCAGACCTCAAAATCAATGGCGCGACCCTCAGCGTCAAAAGCTAGGACACTAGGGGTAGCCATGACGACGACAGCGAAGCAGTGCAAGCAGTAGGGGAAGAGCACGCAGTGACAGTGCGACTGTGCTCACCAGGCAGGGCAGGCTGGGCAACTCTGCAGAAGGGCGGCTCGGTGACTCAGTGACTCGGCTGCTGGGCGGCTCGGCTCCCGGGCGGCTCGGCGGCAGGGCGGCTCGGGTGCAGGGCGGCTCGGCGGCAGGGCGGCTCGGGTGCAGGGCGGCTTGGCTCCCGGGCGGCTCGGCGGCAGGGCGGCTCGGGTGCAGGGCGGCTCGGCTCCCGGGCGGCTCGGCGGCAGGGCAGCTCGGGTGCAGGACGGGGCCGAGACAGGGGACGGCGGGGCCGTCAGGGTGCAGCGGCGGGGCCGGCAGGGTGCAGCGGCGGGGCCGGGACAGGGGACGGCGGGGCCGTCAGGGTGCAGCGGCGGGGCCGACTGGTGCAGAGGCGGGGCCGTCAGGGTGCAGCGGCGGGGCCGTGACAGGGGACGGCGGGGCCGTGACAGGGGACGGCGGGGCCGTTAGGGTGCAGCGGCGGGGCCGACAGAGGTGCAGCGGCGAGGGCCGGCAGGGTGCAGCGGCGAGGCCGGGACAGGGGACGGCGGGGCCGTCAGGGTGCAACGGCGGGGCCGACAGGTGAAGTGGCGGGGCCGTCAGGTTGCAACGGCGGGGCCGAGAGTAGGACGGCGGGGCCGTCAGGTGACGGGGCCCGCTGCAGCGACGAAGAGGCCGCGCGGCCGGCGTGAGGGCGGCGCGGCGCGGCAGAGCCGAGAGGGCAGCGCGGCGCGGCCGTAAGGCCAGCGCGACGTGGGGCCCGGGCCGCGCGCGCGAAAAAAAAAAGGAGTCGCGCGCGCGACTCTCGGGGCGCCACAAGGGCAGCGCGGCAAGCACTAGGGGGGAGCGCGCCTCGGGGAGAATAGGGCGCGCTCCGGGCAGGAAAAATAAATCGTGGGTGGGCCCTTAAGAAACGGTCCTTAGGAGGGACCCGCTCTATACCATGTGAAAAGAATGAACAGGAATGAAATGACTAAGTCAGAGTTGGGTACAAATACTACCCTAGAAAGCTGTACCCCATATGTGCTACCCCACTATAGCCTACAAACATGCATCAGTTATAATACTCTGACAGCCTGGTCGGCCGCCAACGCAGCTCGATCGACCGCCTGCCAGCATTGCGTAGAGGAGCCGCGCCAGCACTGCAGAAGGGCGACCTGCCAACAAAGCAGGTCGACGGCGTGCCCCGTAGAACACAGCAGTGCGCGCGCTCGCAGGTGTGCGCAGACGATTGGCCCGACTTGCCTCGTTGGGCATCCGTCGGCTATTGTCTGCGCCCGACGAGCCACATCGACTTCGGGATACCAGACCGAAGTCGCCTGCGCCATCGCGATCTCGACGACGTTCGCGAGCCTTCGCAGAACTCGTCGAGCAGGTTACCCGGTCGACCTGGTCGACCCCTGGTGCTCTGGTCGACCCCGAGGTGCCTCCGGTCGACCACTGGGTCCCTCTGGTCGACCACCAGGCGCTCCTGGTCGACCACAACTCCCGTCGAGCTACCCCCTGGTCGACGGACCCCTTCCGTCAACCAGAACTGCTCTGTCGACCTCCCGGTCGAACTGTAGGTCGACGGGATGCTCCCCAGACCTCCTGGTCGAGTTGCAGTTCAACGGGATGCTCCGTAGAACTCCCCGTCGAAGTGTAGGTCGACGGACTGCTTCGTCGACCTCCCGGACGGCCCACCCGTCGCACAGACCAGTTAGTTGCAGCTGTCGAGCTCCTTGGTCGACAGCAACACCACAGCGGTCCGCTGTAGCTCGACGTAACCTGTCGAGCAGCTATCCTACTGTGAATAGTCGGCTGCTACTCCCGTGCATCCGACCAAGTCGTCGGCGTTGCCCAAGCGAGGGCGGGGCCAACACTCCATTCCTGTTAACAGGGAAGGTACGGAAAGGGCGGCGAGCACGTCCTTCAGCAGGGTCAACGGTGGTGCCAAGAGGAGCCGCATGACTGACAACTCTGAAGACGCGGCGTTAGAAGCAAAAAATGCAGCGGATGAGGCCATCTTCTTCCTCTACGCCGGCCTTTGCATCCCCGAGCAGCACGCCAATCACCCGCTTTGGCGCAACACGATGCAAGCCATTGCACGTGCGGGAAGTAGCTACGTCCCCCCCGATCGCTGCCACATCGGTGGCTCCAAATTGCAGCAGTCCCGGGTATTGATCGAGTAGGAACTGGAGCCCGTCGCAGCAAGCTGGAAGCGGCGTGGCGTCACCCTCGCGTTTGACACGATGATAGACAAGTGCGGCCGGTTGCAAGCCAACGTGTGGCTTTTTCACGACTCGGGTAGATTGTTCATGGAAAGCATTGATTGCAGTATGGAGGTCAAGATATCCGGCTACATTGCCAGCATGCTACAGCCGATTGTGGAGAAAGTCGGGCCGGAGAACATCGTTGATCTCTGCATGGACGGCAGCAGTAGCTATGCTGACACTTGCCGAGAACTGACGCGCGAGTGGCCGCACGTTGAGTACATTCCTTCTGCGGTGCATGCATTGAATCTGCTAATGGAGGACCTTGGGAAGATGGGATGGGCCAACGGGGTGGTTGACAAAACGGATGAGCTTATTGGGTTTCTCCGCAACCACGACGACACGATTCGCTAATATCTGATGAGCATAGGACAGCCGGATGGCAAGGTGTTGCAAGTGTTGAGGTCGCGAAACGCAAGGTTCGGAGCATAGTACATTGCAAGTCTAGACTTTGTGAGCTTCGGCCGCAGCTGGCGCGGATGGTGTCGAGCGAAGCATGGAAGGTGTGGGTTATGGGGACGAAGAAGAAGGCGGAGGCGGAGGAATTCGCCAAGTTTGTCGCGGACTCGACGTGGTGGAAGGCTGCTGAGTTGTTTGTGAAGTTGATGAAGCTGGTGTTTGTGGTGATGCAGGAGACGGATTCGAGGGCCAGGTCAATGATGGGTCGGATGTATGACATGATGCGGCAATTGACAGAAGATGTGGATGTGGTACTGAAGGGAGATGGGGAGTTGTTGGGTGAAGCGGAGAAGGATGGAATTTTGAGGCTTGTGAAGGAGAAGTGGCATGGAAGCTTTGCATGTACTTTGCACGAGGTGGGCCAAATCCTCAATCCGACCAACCAGGACCGAGAGATTTTCGGTAGGGACCCGAAGATATCAAGGGATTTCAAGGCCTACACTGACAGCCACTGCAAATTCCTTGCGCGAAACCGAAAGTTTCGGCCCTGGTGAACGGTATATTTCACTCCGCACGTGAAGGAAGTTCTTATTCGGCCCTGGTGGACGGTTTTTTTGCTTTCGGGGATTCAATATATGGTAGATTTCACTCGTGTGCCGCACGGGCTGAGCGGGACGCGTAGAAGGAAGGGAAGCTTAGCATGGTACAATGGTGGACAACGCACGGCTCTGACCACCCCGAGATCACAACCCTTGCATGCCATGTTCTCTCTCAGTCCGTGTCTGCATCGACTTGCGATTGGAAGTGGACAGAGTGGGATTCGGTAGGCACTAACCGGCGCAGGAGGTTGGGTTTTGAAAAGTGTCACGATATGGCATACATTGCGCATAACTAACCGGCGGTCAACAACAGGGGGGGAGGTTCTCAAGGGGGGCTGGAGGTGGCAGCAGAGGACAGCCTTAACTCTCCAGTCTCTGCTGAGTTTGATGATGAGGAGCCGGTAGAGGAGGAAGAGGAGGAAGAGGAGGAAGAGGAGGAAGAGAAGGAAGAGGAGGAAGAGGAAGAGGAGGAGGAAGAGGAGGAGGAGGAAGAGGAGGACGAAGAAGAGGAGGAGGAATATAGAAGCTGATTGGTCCTTCATCGATATAAGCGTGGGTGGCAGAGCTTTTTTTGGGATTTTCACTACTCGGATTTCCAGAGCTGTTTTCTAGGGAACTCTGAAATTCAGGGTTCATTATGAGCGTTACTCTGATTTATCAGAGAAAACTTCTGAAAAAAATTACTCTGGGCAACCAAAGCTCCTATTTTTCCAACTCTTAATGTCCTTTCAAGTACTGAATCCAGGCCTTCTGCACTCCTACTAAAATTGTAATCGTTATGCTACGCGCTCATTATCCAAATGCCAACGGAATTTATATGACCGTATCTTTTAGGCCTAACTATCTACAACCAATTGAAGGCGGGGGGGACTCGGTGGAAATGCCCTCCCTGTACAGAGAAAAATACATTCGCCAAAAATATACACTGGTCTCTCAGAGTAGCTAAAATCAGAACCCAGACAAATCAGAGAAATTTTATCTTCAAAAAATACCCTGACACATCAGAGTGACCCCCTAAAAACCACTCTGATTTTCAGAGAAACAGAGTAATTTACTCTGATAAAAAAACCCCTGGTGGGTGGTACAGCGCGGTTTGATTATTTAAGCATACTTTGACGGGCATGAGTAGCTATGGAACACAATATAGTGAAGGATCATAACTTACAAACGGGGGAGGTACATAACGAATCTCGAAACAGCAACTACAGCAACCACATTGAGACAAAAAGGCAGAACTAGGTACAGAGAAAAAACAAACGATGCCACCCCGCACAGATAGCAGACAAAAAACACCACTTGCTGCAACACTGTTGGCTTGAAAGGAAGGGTGGGGGAGTTCTGGGAGGAGCAGAGCGGTGGAGTGACTATAAGCAGTAGTGATGCTATGGAGGGCAGGATGTCTTGGAAAGGGGCCATGGATAGTGATGCCTGCATGGGATGGGGGCAGGAGGCGGGAGAAGTGAGTGGAGGTGAGAGAAAGAGAGGAGAGGAGAGAAAATGAGATGATGGTTCCAACTTCCAAGTGCCTCGAAAGTGGGCAGCAGGTTGTTCAAAAGAGCTGTGTGCGACTTGCTGCGAAGGAGCGCGTCCGCTGAGTGTGTGTGTGTGTGTGTGTGTGTGTGTGTGTGTGTGTGTGTGTGTGTGTGTGTGTGTGTGTGTGTGTGTGTGCGTGTGTGTGTGTGTGTGTCTTTGTGTGTGTGTCTGTGTGTGTGTGTGTGTGTGTGTGTGTGTGTTTGTGTGTGTAGGTGCGTGTGTGCGTGCATGCATGTGTGCGTGCATGCGTGTGTGTGTGTGCGCGCGCGCGCACGTACGCACGCAAGCGCACACATGCAAACAGACCTTGGCGTGGAGGAGAGCAATGAAGGGAGGCAGGTGGAAGAGGGCAGTGACAAGCAGCAGGAGGGCATCGGCCAGAAGAAGCTCTGATACCACTGAGAGGGAAGTCCTGTGATTGGTGGATAGCAACAGGCATGATACCGGTAGTGGACAAGGAATATTCTGTTTGGAATCCTAATTGAACTCATGAGTTGTGAAAGTACCAAGTCGACTCAACAGCAGGCACGATAGTGGATGGACACCATGATAGTGGATGGACACCACGACGACTTTTGAGACGTCTCAAAAATGGACACCACGGCGAATCAACTGTGCATGGAATTGAATGAAACTTGACTTTTGCGTTGGCTCAACAGCAGGCACGTTTGCTTCTGACAATTCTCAAGAACCAACCAGCAAGCAGTGGAGGGGGAAGACGCTGATTCAAATTGTGCATGCATGGATTTAGACTTGAGTGCCCCCTCAAAAAACAGCAGACAAACAAAAACCACCTGCCTTCATCTCACCTTGTCTTGGCTTGAGATGCCCGTGTGATTTGAACAGCAGCAGCCAAGAGGAGAGCGAGGAAAGGGGAGAAGAGGGCGAGCGGAAGGAGGGGGAAGAGGAAGAGGAGTGCGGGCCAATACCCCTGTTGTTGGCAGTTGAAATCAAGGGGATGGCAGGAGTTTGAAAAGCACACAAGGATAGATTGGTGAAGAACGTGGATTAATCTCGCTACCAATTCTTTCAAGCAGACAGGATGAATCAAGAAGATGCAGGAATGGGCGATGCAACAAGTAAAAAATTGTGTGCTTGAAAACAGAATGGTAAACTCAGTCAGACTGCGATCGAAGAGCCTGATGAGGTGTTGCGACGTAGGTTTGTGCGCAGGTTTTATTTGAACTTACCATGCGGATGTTTGTGCCTTCATCTTCCCATACACCAAACCGGGAGCGGCCACACCAGGAGATGATGCTAAGGGTCACTTTTAGCAAAGCAACGAGGAGGCAGAGAATTGCTGATGAGATTACGACTGCTAAGAGGATTGAGACGAGTGCTGATGTCAGCGTGGAGAAAATACAGCTCAGCATGCACCGTGCTGATGCAAGGAAAAGTAAGAATGACGTGGCATGGTGTGGTCGGTTTGGGTTGATTTGGAGAGAAGAGGGAAGGAGGGTGCGGAGAGAGGAGGGAAGGGTGGAGTGGAGGGAGGAGTGAAGGGAGGAGGTGAGTGTGTGAAGAAACGAGGTGAGAGAAGGAGAGAGTCTTGGAAGGGAAGGGAGGAAGAGGAGGAGCGGAGAGAGGAGGGAGTGGTAGAGAGGGAGAGGGTGACTGGAAGAGGAAGCAGCAGAATGAACCTGGAGAGTGGAGAATCCTGAGTGTGTGGGGGGTGATTCTAGAGGATGGGAGTGAGAGAGGGGGAGTGAAAAGTGAGAGGAGTGAGAGAGGGAGTGCAGGAGAGAGAAGATTATGAGTGAGGAGAGGAGGGAGCGTGGAACAGGGCTAGAGAAAGACGGCCAAGGAGAGGAGGCGATGAGAGAGAGGAGAGAAGGGAGAGTGTGGAGCGAGGGAGAGGAGGAGTGGGAGAGTGAGTGAGAGAAGAGGTAGGAGGAGGTGCAGAGAGCGAGGGAGAGGGCCGAGCCGATGAGGAGAGGGAGGGAGGAGAGGAGGAGGGAGGCGAGGGATCGTGGAAGGTCAACGGAGATGAGGAGGGAGGAGGGGCAGGAGGGATCCACCTGGAGGGAGGGAGTGGGGGAAGTGGGGGGAGTAGGGGGAGTAGAGGGAGTAGAGGGAGTGGGAAGGTGAGGCACCGAGGGAGGGAGGAAGGGATTTGAAACGTCTCAGAACTTGGTGAGTAGGGGAGTAGGAATTCTGAGACTCTAAGAGAGGGAGTGGATGAGGGAAAGCATGCAAAGAGAATGATTTCTGATACGGGATGGCAAGGAAGAGAGGAGAGAGGTGGGCAGGGTGTTTGCGGGCGAGGGAGGGTGGGAGAGAAGGGATGTGGGTTTGATCTGAACCATGCAGGCTTTACCAGCAGCATCAAGGCGAGTCCGTCCTCTCTGCCAAGATGCACCACCTCCTCTGAGCCACCAGTTGACTTTTGAGTCGACTCAAAAGCCAAGATGCACCACCTCCTCTGAGCCACCAGTTGACTTTTGAGTCGACTCAAAAGCCAAGATGCACCACCTCCTCTGAGCCACCAGTTGACTTATGAGTCGACTCAAAAGCCAAGATGCACCACCTCCTCTGAGCCACCAGTTGACTTTTGAGTCGACTCAAAAGCCAAGATGCACCACCTCCTCTGAGCCACCAGTTGACTTTTGAGTCGACTCAAAAGCCAAGATGCACCACCTCCTCTGAGCCACCAGTTGACTTTTGAGTCGACTCAAAAGCCAAGATGCACCACCTCCTCTGAGCCACCAGTTGACTTTTGAGTCGACTCAAAAGCCAAGATGCACCACCTCCTCTGAGCCACCAGTTGACTTTTGAGTCGACTCAAAAGCCAAGATGCACCATCTCCTCTGAGCCACCACACACAGTCACTCGAGGAAAACCCACCCCTCCTTTTGTCAACTCAACAAACCTTACCAGCAGCATCAAGGCGAGTTCGTCTCTGCCCCAATGCTCCACCTCCTCTGAACCGTCTCTCAAAAAACTCCCGCCGGCATTGCTCTTGGCATGACTTTGCGGGTTCTGAGACGCGTCACAACGAGAGCTACTGTGTGCCGCTGCTCCCCCGCCTTCCTGCTCGCTCGTCTGCGAGCGGCATTGCGAATGGTGGCAATCGCGTTGGTGACAATGGGGGTGATTGTGGTGATAGTGGCAGTGGCGGCAGGAGGGGCGCATGAGGTGTGGCGGGGGAGAGTCGAGCTCAAGGACTGTGGAGCGGAGGAAGGTATGGGACGACAGGATCTTATAGCTCCCTTCATGTTCACGTTGTAAGCAGCTTTTCCGGTGGCTCGCACTGGCTGCTGCAGTGTGAGCAGATGCCAGGATAGCAGCAGCAGGGTGACAAGTGGTGGGACTCGGCTGGGCTCCTGGAGAAGATGGGGGAGATGGAATGGAGAAGATGGGGGAGATGGAATGGAGAAGATGGGGGAGATGGAATGGAGAAGATGGGAGAGATGGAATGGAGAAGATGGGGGAGATGGAATGGAGAAGATGGGGGAGATGGAATGGAGAAGATGGGGGAGATGGAATGGAGAAGATGGGAGAGATGGAATGGAGAAGATGGGGGAGATGGAATGGAGAAGATGGGGGAGATGGAATGGAGAAGATGGGAGAGATGGAATGGAGAAGATGGGGGAGATGGAATGGAGAAGATGGGGGAGATGGAATGGAGAAGATGGGGGAGATGGAATGGAGAAGATGGGGGAGATGGAATGGAGAAGATGGGGGAGATGGAATGGAGAAGATGGGGGAGATGGAATGGAGAAGATGGGGGAGATGGAATGGAGAAGATGGGGGAGATGGAATGGAGAAGATGGGGGAGATGGAATGGAGAAGATGGGGGGGATGGAATGAAGAAGATGGGGGAGATGGAATGGAGAAGATGGGGGAGATGGAATGGAGAAGATGGGGGAGATGGAATGGAGAAGATGGGGGAGATGGAATGGAGAAGATGGGGGAGATGGAATGGAGAAGATGGGGGAGATGGAATGGGGGGGGAGGGGGATGGAATGAGGGGGAGGGGATGGAATGGGGGGGATGTTAGATTATACTACTCTTCTGTATCTTGCATTGATCCTATAAACCCTAGGATAGAGATAGGCACCCAAACTATGTTTGGGTGCACAACTAGGGTTAACCCTAGGTGGGGGTTGGAACCCAACCTTGGCCCAATTATTGGACCCCAAGGTTGAGTTGAGAGATGATTGGCCCCCCCAACAATGTTGGCCCACTTTGACCAACATTATTGGGACCCCCCAATAATTCTCCAACCTAACTTATTGGTGGGGGGCCAATAATGTTGGCTAAGTACCCAACCAACCCCCCTCCCCTAGCTTCAACTATGTAAGCCCTCATGATTCCTAATCAAGTCAATGGTTCGATTCTAACATGGGAGGGGGATGAGATGGGGGAGAGGCGGATGGGATGGGATGGGGGGGAGATGGGAGAGTGGGGATGAAGAGAGGGACGATTCCCATCTGGAGGCATCCATACACTGTTAATAAGGGGATTCCTATTAGCGGGTTTAAATGTCAAATATTAACATTTGAGATGTCCCATAAGTGGGGAAACGCTGGAGGTGGTTTGATGTTGGGAGGGCAGCAAGCGGAGGTGGATGGATGGTGGGTGGGGGGTTGAGATCTTGAGATGTCTGAAAGCTCAGATGCTGTGACGAGACGCCAGGAATCTCAAATGCAGACGTCTCAACAGTGGGGAAACGTACCAAGGGACACGCTGGAGGTGGTTTGAGGTTGGGAGGGCAGCAAGCGCAGGTGCAGAGAGAGATGAGCAGCAGCAGGTGGGAGCGAGACAACGGACAGAAGTGGCTGCTGCTCCTGTCCCTGATGCTGCTGCTGCTGTTGCTTCCGATTGGCGGAGATGGATGAGAGTGGCTGCACGCAGGTGAAGCATTGGCATTAGTGTGAATAAGTTAAAAGAGCGTCAGCGGAGAGACCAAACCGACACATGGTTTAGCACATGTAGAGGCTGAAAGATTCGCTTCAACCACATGCTTCCTTAATTGCATTAAGCGTTTTCCTCGAGTTTGCTGCTATTCCATTGGGAGGTTGAATCCGTACCATATGTCTTTTGAGGCGCCTCAAAAGCTTGAATCCTTACCATGTGTAGAGGCTGAACGATGGAGACGAGCAATGATAGCAGGGAGAGAGACTTTGACCGAGAGGAGTGGGTTGGAGTGGTGGTGGTGGGGGAGGAGGAGGAGGAGGAGGAGGAGGAGGAGGAGGAGGAGGAGGAGGAGGAGGAGGAGGAGGAGGAGGAGGAGGAGGAGGAGGAGGAGGAGGAGGAGGAGGAGGAAGAGGAGGAGGAGAGTGGAGGGTGGAGATTGAGTGGTGCCAGGTCCATCGAGAGGAAGTGCAGAGGGGGCCGAGGCTTGCCCTGATAAACAAGAGAGAAGGAAGAAGGGAGAGAAGGAAGAAGGGAGAGAAGGAAGAAGGGAGAGAAGGAAGAAGGGAGAGAAGGAAGAACGGAAGGCAGGTGGAAGTGTTGCTTTGAGGCACCTTTAAAAATAAGCTCCAAAGAGACGAAGTGGAGAGGGGGGCGATATTTCCCCTGTGAAGTGAAGCAAGAGTAACATGGATGGAGGAAGGAATGGAGGTTGCGTGTGATTGCTCGTTCTTCTGAGGCGCCCATGATCAGCTCCCAAAGACGTGGAGAGGGGGGCGAGGCTTGTGCATGGATGGAGAGGAACACGAGGAACACGAGGAACAAGAGGAACACGAGGAACAAGAGGAACACGAGGAACACGAGGAACACGAGGAACAAGAGGAACACGAGGAACAAGAGGAACAAGAGGAACACGAGGAACAAGAGGAACAAGAGGAACACGAGGAACAAGAGGAACACGAGGAACACGAGGAACACGAGGAACAAGAGGAACACGAGGAACAAGAGGAACAAGAGGAACACGAGGAACAAGAGGAACACACGAGGAACACGAGGAACACGAGGAACACGAGGAACACGAGGAACACGAGGAACAAGAGGAACACGAGGAACAAGAGGAACAAGAGGAACACGAGGAACAAGAGGAACACACGAGGAACACGAGGAACACGAGGAACACGAGGAACAAGAGGAACAAGAGGAACACGAGGAACAAGAGGAACAAGAGGAACACGAGGAACAAGAGGAACACGAGGAACACGAGGAACACGAGGAACAAGAGGAACACGAGGAACAAGAGGAACAAGAGGAACACGAGGAACAAGAGGAACACACGAGGAACACGAGGAACACGAGGAACACGAGGAACACGAGGAACACGAGGAACAAGAGGAACACGAGGAACAAGAGGAACAAGAGGAACACGAGGAACAAGAGGAACACACGAGGAACACGAGGAACACGAGGAACACGAGGAACAAGAGGAACACGAGGAACACGAGGAACAAGAGGAACACGACGAACACGAGGAACACGAGGAACAAGAGGAACACGAGGAACACGACGACACGAGGAACACGAGGAACACGAGGAACAAGAGGAACACAAGGAACACGACAAACACGAGGAACATGAGGAACACGAGGAACACGAGGAACAAGAGGAACAAGAGGAACAAGAGGAACACGAGGAACAAGAGGAACAAGAGGAACAAGAGGAACAAGAGGAACACGAGGAACACGAGGAACACGAGGAACAAGAGGAACAAGAGGAACACGAGGAACAAGAGGAACAAGAGGAACAAGAGGAACACGAGGAACATGAGGAACAAGAGGAACAAGAGGAACACGAGGAACAAGAGGAACAAGAGCAACACGAATTAAGAGAAATGATTGCGGATCGAGTGATGACACTGGCTGTGAAGACGTCTCAAAGTGTGAGTGCACTGTTGGTTACGCTGGAAATTGAACTCCGCACCTTGGTATTGATATTCACATGCAGAGTAGCCGTCCTTACACGACCAGCACCACCCCGGTCTGCCATCTCCAGAGGCAGTATGAGCAGGGCAAGAGGGGACGGCTGGGGCACCTGCCCTGTGACCTGCTGTGATGCCGGTGATACTGGGAGGGACTGGGAGGGAGGGAAGGGAGGCAAGGGAAGGCGAGGAGAGGCAGGGAGCAAGGGGAATTAAGGAGAGGCAAGGGCAGAGGCAGGATAACGAGGGCAAGTGGGGACGGCTGTGGCGGCTGCCCTGTGACCTGCTGTGATGCCGGTGATACTGGGAGGGACAGGGAGGGAGGGAAAGGAGGCAAGGGGAGGCGAAGGCAGAGGCAGCATGAGCACAGCAGCCCTGTGACCTGCTGTGATGCCTGTGATACTGGGAGGGACTGGGAGGGAGGGAGGCAAGGAAGAGCGAGTAGAGGCTGGTTGGGAATAAAAGCACAATTACTAGTCTATTTATATTTAAAGCCCCAAACCGTATGCCTTAGGAACTGAACATTTCACCCCTTTTTTTCAAGTTTTTGTTTATCTTCTTTTGAATTGGCAATGCGGGATTGAGTGATGCACTTTAAGGCACTTACAAAAGCACTGCTTCCGGGTGGGGAGGGCAGAGGCACGAGCAGCCGTGTCAAATCATAGGATGACACGTCACCCTCACTTCCATCGCCACAACTCCCCTCCTCCTCCCCAAACCCTCCCTCCACCTCCCCTGCCTTACTCCCACAATCCATACGGTCTCTCCTCACTCCCATACGATCTCTCCTCACTCCCATTTTCCTAGCCTCCTGCTCTCCCTGACCCTCCCCTTTCACCCTCTTATCGTCTCCCTGCCTCCTCTCCTCCTGCGTTTTTATATCGAGGGGATCCTCTCCATAGCTCTCCTCCCCGGCCCCCTTCTGTGTGCTTATAACGAGGGTGAGATTCATGCCGTCGCATGGGAGCACATTCGATAGAAGAACCAGGGCCCTGCTGCTACCGCCTGCTGTGTGGGGTGATGGTGCTTCAATCTGTAAGATACGTTTTTGGGAGCGGGAGGGTTTGGGGTGGGAGGCAGGAGGAGATTCGAGAAGGGAATGAGTTTGGGTGGGTATCCAAATTCTTATGGCCTCGACAGAAACAGAACTGATACAAGAAGCAAAGTGTCGAGAGTGCATTTAATGTGCGATAATATGTGATCCCCGCCCCCCCCCCCCCCCCCCCCCCCCTTTCACCACAAAAAAAACAGATATATATTTTGGTTTGATAGATCTGGTTAATTTGAGTGGAGAAATGACAGAGGGATGAAAGGGACGGAGGATGGACAGGGGAGGGGAGGATGGGAAGTTACAGCTTTACACAAAAGGTTGATTGTTTGTGATGATTGATTTGTTCTGAGACGTCTCAAGGCAGGGGAGCGGAAGATGAGAATCCTCGAAAGTAACTTTACACGAAAGGTAGAACACTGTAAATGCCACACTGTAAATGCCACACTGTAAATGCCACTCTCTCAGCTCACAACACTCTGAGCAGCCATCTCAGCTCACAGGCAGGTTGACGTGGAAGGCTTGAGCGCCTTAAAACTTTTACACCAAGGTAGAATGCTATATGTGCTAAAAAAAATCCTATACCTGTACCCTGAACAGCCATAGCTCACAGGCAGGTTGATGTGGAAAGAGAGAGACTCATGGGCGTGTGAGGCCCATTTGTGTACGAACGGGCCTGCGCTCAGCTGCACTGATGTGTGCCCGTCACTCCTCTGCTCTTGCTTCCACTTCAGTTGCTGCTCTTGCTGCTGCTGTTGCTGTTTCTGCTGCTGCTGTTGCTGTTTCTGCTGCTGCAGTTGCTGTTTCTGCTTCTGCTGTTTCTGTTTCTGCTGCTGCTGTTGCTGTTCCTGCTGCTGCTTCTGCTGCTCCTTATGCTGCTGTTTCTCCTGTTCTGTCTGCTGCACGGTAGGCTCATGGAGTGAAGCGGGTGAAGCTGCTCTGTCTGGGGATCCAAGCAGCAAGGGCCGGAGTAGGAGAGGCGGGGCGGACAGGTGGCAGGAGATGATTGCAAGGCGTGTGTTAGGGGAGGAGAAGGGCTGCGACGTGTGTGGGTTGACGAGGGATAGGAGGGCGTGGGCGAGCTGTGGGAGAAAAGGGGGTGATTTGAGAGAAGGGAGAGAATGGGGAGGTGGGGAGGACAGGTGGCAGCAGATGATTGCACGGCGCATGTTAGGGGAGGAGAAGGGCTGGGATGTGCGTGGGTTGACGAGGGACAGGAGGGCGTGGGCGAGCTGTGGGCAGGACCCAGAGGAGAGGTAGGGATGGGAGGGAAGGGGAGAAGGGGGATGGGAATGGGGCGGGGGATGGAAGGGAGAAGGGTTGTACGTGCATGGGTTGTACATGCATGGGTTGTACATGCATGGGTTGTACATGCATGGGTTGTACGTGCATGGGTTGTACGTGCATGGGTTGTACGTGCATGGGTTGACCAGTGATGATAGGAGGCATGGGAATGCTGAGGGCGGGTAGGTTAAGAGTGTGGGTTGATCATATACCATCACATACCACCGCATATCACCACACACCACCGCACACCTGAGCCATGGGCTGGTTGCACCACACTGCCTGCTCGTGCCCTGCTGAGAGCCCCACAGATGAGGGGATGTGCTGCGGCACAGCACAGGCTGACACCGGCACTACCACCACACAAGACTGCGTACCACCACACACCACCGCACACCACCGCACACCTGAGCCACGGGCTGGTTGCACCACACTGCCTGCTCGTGCCCTGCTGAGAGCCCCACAGATGAGGGGATGTGCTGCGGCACAGCACAGGCTGACACCGGCACTACCACCACACAAGACTGCGTACCACCACACAAGACTGCGTACCACCACACACCACCGCACACCACCGCACACCTGAGCCACGGGCTGGTTGCACCACACTGCCTGCTCGTGCCCTGCTGAGAGCCACACGTGAGGGGCTGTGCCGAATAAAAGGTGCAGGGAGGTGGTATCTGGGGAGGGGGGTACTGCTGCCGCCCATGAACGGACCTGGAAGGAGGGGGGCGGAGGGTGGTGGAAGGGGCAGAGGGTGATAAAGGGGAAATAAGAGCAGTTGTGGGGTATGTGCTGAATGGGAGCTGGTGTCTGGGGACGGGGTACTGCTGCCGCCCATGAACGATTTTTGAGGCGCCTCAAAAGTCGTGAGGGTGTGTCTGTGCTGAATGGGAGGTGGTATCTGGGGAGGAGGGTACTTCTGCCGCCCATGAACGGACCTGGAAGGACGGGGGCGGAGGGTGGCAGAAGGGGCAGAGGGTGACCGAAAAGGGGAGACGAAGAGCTTTAAGGGCATCCAGGGGCGGAAAGGAGATGCGGGGGAAAGGAGATGGGGGGGAAAGGAGATGGGGGGGAAAGGAGAGGAAAGAAGGGTGGGTGGGGGCATAAGAGTGTTAAGTGAAGCGACGAGAGAGTGTGGGAGAAACAATGAAGGAGAAACAATGAAGGAGAGCGAGCGGGCAGCGGTGGTGGAAGTATCACAAGAGGTGGACTGAGAGGAAAAGAGAGGGGAGCACTGAGTGCATGTCTCTGCCTCCTGAATCATATGCGTATCACTTTTCAGAATACTCAACATGTGTATCTGCCGCACATCTGCCACTCCAGGAAATATCTATCATCTGCTTTTGAGTCTATCATGTGCTTACTCAACATGTGTATCTGCCGCACATCTGCCACTTCAGGTCATATCTATCTGGTGCCAAGCCAATCTCACCTGCCAATCTCACCTGCCAATCTCACCTGCCAATCTCACCTGCCAATCTCACCAACCAATCTCACCTGCCAATCTCACCTGCTAATCTCACCTGCCAATCTCACCTGCCAATCTCACCTGCCAATCTCACCAGCCAATCTCACCTGCCAATCTCACCTGCCAATCTCACCTGCCAATCTCACCTGCCAATCTCACCTGCCAATCTCACCTGCCAATCTCACCTGCCAATCTCACCTGCCAATCTCACCTGCCAATCTCACCTGCCAATCTCACCAGCCAATCTCACCTGCCAATCTCACCTGCCAATCTCACCTGCCAATCTCACCTGTCAATCTCACCAGCCAATCTCACCTGCCAATCTCACCTGCCAATCTCACCTGTCAATCTCACCAGCCAATCTCACCTGCCAATCTCACCTGCCAATCTCACCTGCCAATCTCACCTGCCAATCTCACCTGTCAATCTCACCTGCCAATCTCACCTGCCAATCTCACCTGCCAATCTCACCTGCCAATCTCACCTGTCAATCTCACCAGCCAATCTCACCTGCCAATCTCACCTGCCAATCTCACCTGCCAATCTCACCTGCCAATCTCACCTGCCAATCTCACCTGTAAATCTCACCAGCCAATCTCACCTGCCAATCTCACCTGCCAATCTCACCTGTCAATCTCACCAGCCAATCTCACCTGCCAATCTCACCTGCCAATCTCACCTGCCAATCTCACCTGCCAATCTCACCCGTCAATCTCACCTGTCAATCTCACCTGCCAATCTCACCTGCCAATCTCACCTGCCAATCTCACCTGCCAATCTCTTCAGCCAGCAGAAAACGATGCGAGGAGCAGAGAGGAGGAGGGAGAGCGCTGGGAGGGGTGGGATTGGTGTGCGTGTGGGATGGCAGGGCAACCAGTGGTAAGCTGACACGTGGCACGAGGCCAATCTCACCAGCCAATCTCACCTGCCAGTCACTCCGGCCGGCAGCAAGAGAGGCGAGGAGCAGAGCAGAGGAGGGAGAGTTGGGGGTGTGCTGGATGAGGGAGTGATAGAGGGCATGCATTGACGGCTGGAGGGGGAGGGGGAAGAGGCTGGGGGAACCGGGGAAAATGGGGAAAACGGGGGGGGAAGAGGGAGGGAAGAGGGGAAACGGGAGGGGGAGGTAGGATGGAATGGGGAGATGAAAACAATGAGAACAATGGGAAAAGGGGAGGGAGGTGAGAATTTCCAGAATTCGCATGGAAGAGTGGTGGCTGAGGGAGGAGTGAGGGCGGGCATGGATGGTTGCAGGGGGGGGGAATGGGGAGGCCACGTGTAGAAAGTGAATTCACTTGGAGCAGACGTCTCAAACTTTCACTTTCTACACGGAGCGGTGAGGGCGAGCATGGATGGTTGCAGGGAGGGAGAATGGGGAGGCCGGAGGGGGGGGGGGGGGGGGGGGAGGGGGGGAGAATGGGGGGGGAGCATGGGGGGTCAATGGATGAAAACAGAGGGGGGGGATTGGCGCCTCTTCAGACGCAAAGCGAGGGTGCAAGTAAGACACATCTCAAGGTTACGACAGGCAGGCAGTGTTTGAGAGACCTGCCTGTGCGGTGACTTTTGAGAGACCTGACTAAGGTCTGAAAAGTTCTCCTAAGAGACCTGCCTGTGTGGTGTGGCGATGGTGACAATAGTGTGCACTGAATCATGTCTGCTCCCTTCCTCATGGACAATGCTACAATGCCCTCTCTCCACCTCCTGTATTCCTCCTCCTCCTTCTTGTGCCTCGTCCTTCCACGCACACTCCTTCACCTCTTCTTCCATCTCCCTATTCCGTCCCTCTCTCACACCTCCTCCCCCTCGCAGTCTCCTGTGGGCCAGGCGGGCGACTATCCCCCCCATGGAGTGCCCCACTAGCAGCACAGAGGGCGGGTGGGCGGGCGTGGAAGCACAGGACGCACTGTAGAGGGAGAGGATCTGAGGGGTTAGAGGGGAGTAGTGGGGGAGGGGAGGGGAAGAATCACCCATTGAATGCCCCACCCGCAGCCCAGACAAAGGGTGGCCGGGTTGTGGTTTCTAAGGCAGCCCAAATTCCTCTCTCGCGTCTCCTCCCCCTGTGAGTCTCCTGTGGGCCAGGCGGCAACGTCACTATCCCCCCCATTGAATGCCCCACTAGCAGCACAGAGGACGGGCGAGCGGGCGTGGAAACAGGAAGAACAGTAGCGGGAGAGGATCTGAGGGGGTTGAGGGAAGGGAAGAGAGAGGGATGGGGGGAGGAGGAGGGGGAGGGGGAGAAGAAGAGAGAGCAAGGCACAAGATGAGTTGTCTGCGTGTCCTCCCCCTCCCTCTCCACGTGTCCTTCCCGTCCCCTCCCTCGTTCACATCTCCCCCCCCTGTGAGTCTCCTGTGGGCCAGCGCGACTATCCCCGCCATTGAATGCCCCACTAGCAGCACAGGGGGCGGGGGTGTAGGCGTGGAGGCACAGGAGAAACGATAGAGGGAGAGGATCTGAGAGGGTGGGGTGAGGGAGGGGACGAGAGAGGGGGATGGGGAGAGGAGAGAGGAGGAATCAGAGAGGACGAGCGGGCCGGCGTGGAAGCACGCGAGGAACTGTAGAGGGCCACGACCTGAGAGGGCTTATAGGGGAGAGGGGGAACGGGTAGGCGAGACAGAACAACTCACATAGAGGTCCCAGAAAGAACAAAATCCTCATTAAGTGCCCCACGATTGCAGCACAGGGAAGTGGGAAGAGAAGAAACTGAAATTGCAAAGAGAGGGGAATAAGCTGGAGATAGTGCAGAGCTAACATCTGCACAAGCACATACACACACGCACCACACACACGCACCACACACACGCACCACACACACGCACCACACACACGCACCACACACACGCACCACACACACGCGCGCGCGCGCGCGCGCACACACACAAACACTCTTCAATCGAGACCCACCTGGATGATAGCAGCAGCAACGAAGGCCGCCTGTTTGTGCAGCAGAGCGCTGTGAAGAGCAGAGAGGTGCTCCCTCAGATCCACACGGACACATGTACAGGCCCACACGAGCACACACACACCCACGAGCACAGAACCCACCCACATACACCTCAGCACCCACCTGAGTGACAGCAGCAGCAACGAAGGCCGCCTGTTTGTGCAGCAGAGCGCTGTGAAGAGCAGAGAGGTGCTCCCTCAGATCCACGGAGAACCACACCAGGCGAGATGGGTATGCTGCTGATCCCCGCCCCCCCTTCCACGTTCCTGCTGCAGCTTCTCCCCTCGCTTCCCCTGACTCTTTCTTTCCGTCTGAGTCTGCTGCTGGTTTCGCTGGTGTGAGAGGCTCTGTGTCTGGCTCGTCTGAACAGGCGAAGCAGGGAGGGCTGTTCCTTGATTCGTGTTGCGCATGAGAGGCGTGGTAGATGTGGTGGGAGACAGATGCGAGGGAACGCACCTGAATGAATGATGGGGAGAAGAGGGGACAGGTAAAGTGGGGGAAGCGCGCGTGAAAAAAACTTAGTCACAGACAGGGATATCTTATAAGGCGTGTTTATGATTGTCTTACAGTTCATGCAGATCTTGAGCGCTGGCATCAGAACTACAGATTTGGTAATGTTTGTGTCACTTTTGACAACTGCCAGAAGAGACACAAACAGAATCACGCAGATCCTGAGCACTGGCATCCGCATTACAGAGTGGTTGGTGAAAGCAACTGAGCAAGACGAAGAGCACTGGCATTGGTCATGTTTGTATCACCTTTGAGAACTGCCCGAAGTGACACAAACAGAATCACGCAGATCTTTAGCAAGACGAAAGAGCATTGGTATCAGACTACAGAGTCGGTTATAGGCGTTATCTGCTTGTAGCAACCGACACATTTCAAACATGGAGAGCACAGGCACAGCCCCAAAGGGACCCCTCTTCACCTCCTCTTAACTGCTTGCCCTAGATTGGCGTGTTATCCACGCAACACACTTGACTGTAACAACCAGCATCACATCACCTGTTGCTAGATATCGCCTGCTTGTAGCAGCCCGCATGCCCCGGGACAAAGAGCACAGGCTCCGTTCCACAGAGGCTCTTCTTCACTTCCTCCTCACTGCTTGGAAGAACCTAGTGTGGCGTGTTTTATCCACGCAACACACCTGCCTGTAAAGACCGGCATCACATTGCATTACCTGCTTGTAGCAGCCCGCATTCCCGGGGATAAAGAGCACAGGAACCGTTCCACAGAGGCTCTTCTTCTCTTCCTCCTCACTGCTGCTGCCTCCCCAGGCGCGGCCCTCTCGGTACAAGAACAAATTGTACACTGAAGCTGGGAAGTGTAAAGGGGGGGCATGGTAAAGGAGGCTCAGTGCAGATGAGGAAGCACAGGGGCGGTATGGCAGAAACCTCTCTTCATTTCCCCCTTGCTGCTGTCTCCCCAGGTGTGGCCTTCTTCTCGGTACAAGAACGAGCTGTACAGAGGGGTTGGGAAGTGTTGGGTTGGGAGGGGCTGTACTCACATGCGTCAAGTCCTTGTTTCTCCAGAGTCCGGTTTTGCATGGGAATGGGGACGTAATCAGGCCACATGTACGTCATGGCGCATTCCCTCTCCATAGGCTCCCTCTCCCCTTCCCATTTCCCATTCCCCTCCCCCTCGCCCTCTCCGTTCCGCTCCCCCTTCCTTTCCCTCCGATCCCCATTTTCCTCCCCTGCCACTAATTCCCCCTTTCCCCCCCCGCTTCCCCAAGCGAGTGCGCTGAGGGTTCCCGGAGGCGCCACCCATCCGGTTACCGCTAAGGCGATGAGTACTAGCGCGGAAAAACACGTCAGCAGGATGGGAGCCCCGGTGGATCGGCGGGCTCGCGCTACGGTTGAGAGTGGTTCCGCTGTCGCCGCCGCTACTGGAGCTAAAGTCGATCGCTTTGCTGCTCCCGGAGCACTGGAACCGGAAGCTTCGGCATTTGCCCCGCAGTGGCTCTTCATTACATTTACTTTATATGCTTCTGCGACGGTGCAGAACGATTCCTGATGAAATCCAGGGCCTGGTCGAGTTGACTGGCTTTTAGCGAACGGAATGAAGAAGGAATAACGCAGTGTATATCATTGAATGTAAAAGATTGCCAACTGTGACACGTCGTTGTTCCAGTATCAGTATACAGGCCTGGTGCGGTGGAATGCGGCTGAGTGAGGTTCTGGTGCTTGTGGGAGGGGTTCAGTGAGGTCGGATGCGGTTGAGGAACGGTCTAGGGCGGTGGGGTGCGGTGTGCGACTCCAGGGGGGGTTAGCACGGGTGGAATGCGGTTCTGTGCAGTTCCAGGGGAGCTAGCATGGGTGGAGTGCGATTCTGTGCGGTTCTGTGCCGTTCTGTCCCATTCTGTGCGGTTCTGTGCGGTTCTGTGCGATTCTGTGCGGTTCTGCGCGGTTCTGCGCGGTTCAGCGGGTACGGGTGGTAGACTATGGTTTCCAGGTGTGGCTAGTTGGTGGGGCTGAGGCTAACTGGTGGGGCGGCGGGTGAGGCAGCTCGTGGGGCAGCGGGTGTCAGGTGGGGCGGCGGGTTTCAACTCGTGGGGGGCAGGTGACAGGTGGGGCGGCGGCTAAGAGATAGGGCGGCGGGTAAGGCAGGGGTGGCGCCACGTGCGCGCGGCTGCTGCTGTGCGTGCGTGCGACTGACGACGGGACCACGGGGCACGCTATCGAAAGGGCCGCGGGGCACGCTAGCGAAAAAAATAAGGGGCCGCGGGGCCTGTTCCTACGGTCGACGGGAGACGGGCGACGGGCGACGGGCGACGGGCGACAGGAGGGGAAAAATCGACGGGCGACGGGCGACGGGAGGGGAGAAATCGACAATCGACGGGCGACGGGAGGGGAAAATCGACGGGCGACGGAAAAGCGACGGGCGACGGGAGAGCTGCGGAAGAATGGCGCGCTACGGGCGACGGGCGACGAGCTAAGGGGCGCGCGTTAGGACGGGGCGCGCTCTGGTAGCGAATTCGGTGGGCCCAACTATCGAGACTTAAAACGCTAGGGGAAACCCTAGCTAGGGTAAACCTAGCTCTATACCATGTTGAGAAACAAGAAATGAAAGTGGAAACCTAACCCTAGCCCCAAAAGTAGAAAGTACACCTAGACTAACAATAGAAGCTATAACAAATATAGCTTGACACTGATTGCCGTTGATTAACGGGTACTCCACCTGCTTTTGCAATACACGGCAGTAATGTTAGCGGAACATCAGGACCTATTAAATAGCTCTTTGAAACGTAAAAGCCAATACACTCGACCCGTACATCTAAAATACAATGGCGTACATTGCGGAGCACAAGTGGAGGAGGGTACGGCCGGCGGAATGATGTGTAGACTCCTCGCTCGGACGCATCCGATGCGAACGGCAGGCCGTTACGCACGTGCCACACCATGAGCTCGTGGGACTCTGCGTCTGGCATGACCAAGGCGAAAGGACGTAAGTGTCATACATAGGCCAACTCGCCCAACCCCAAGAACAGTTCACACGTAAATCATGGACCCTTACCCGCCCAATGCGTGCTTGTAAACTCATGACGAGAGATGGGCACCACAGTCACACCCGCTGGCAGAGTTGGACTGTGACACGCGAAAACGTGGGAGGATCGTATGGGAGCCCGAGTAGAACGTAGACATAAGCCCTTCCCTGCTCCCATCTCGTGTTACGATACAGCTGCATCCTGCGAACGAACCACCCAGATCAAGCGGAATCGTACCGCATCACAAGGTGCAACATGTGCTTCTGTGCGCGGGTGTGCAGACAGAGCGCGCGGGCGATCACAGATTCCATGAGAGGCTGCGAGGGACAGAAGCTCATTCGGCGCACGCGGGTGTCGTATACAAGAATCACGATCCCGTCACCGACTGCTTCCTGAATAGGTTGGGGGTAGCACATCAGCGAAACAATAACGGACATTTACTCCGACGTTTGGGTTTGCAATCGTATACTAGTTCGTGACAGCGTCCTACCTTCCACCCATTGTCAAGCCCTGGAAGCACACTGTGTACTTGCTTGAGCGTATCTGCCCACACGATGAGTCCCATAGTTGGTGTCCCATGGCGACCCATAGTCGTCGCTGTCTCACGCGCAAGCGCACGGGCGACAAACGGGGTCGTTGGTGCGTCCGGCGCTTGTTCCTAAAAGAGCGTGGTGATGCTTGTCGCAGGCACGTCATTTGCCGAGCGTCGTGGGCGTGGTGCGGATGGTGTCAGAACATTATAGCTTATATATTTGTGTAGGCTATAGTGGGGTATCCCATAGGGGGTACAACCCAATCAGGGTTTCATATTTGTACTCACTTCATTCATAGTTCATTCATTCTCGTTCTAGTTTCTTTCACATGGTTTCAGAGCGGTTACGCTCTCGGCCTGTGGGTACTACTGCTTCCGCTGCTACATGCTCTGTCGCACGCCCCGTGGCGTGCGACGCAGCGCGCGGCGATTTGCACTTTGGCACGCGCCTCGGGGCGCGCGGCCTCTTTCTTTTCTGGCGCGCCGCCCGTCCCGGCCCCTAGACGCCCGCGCGCCGCCCGTCCCGGCCCCTAACCGTACGTGCGCCGCCCGTCCCGGCCCTTAGACGCCCGCGCGCCACCCGTTCAGGCCCCGCGCCGTCGTCCCGGCCCCCACTCCGCCCGTGCGCCGCCCGTCCCGGCCCCACGCCGCACGTGCACCGCCCGTCCCGGCCCCGCGCCGTCGTCCCGGCCCCCACTCCGCCCGTGCGCCGCCCGTCCCGACCCCACGCCGCCCGTGCGCCGCCCGTTCCGGCAGCGCGCCGCCGTCCCGGCCCCACGCCGCCCGTGCACCGCCCGTCCCGGCCCCGCGCAGCTGCCCCGGCCCGTCGCCTGCTGCATTGCCGAGCCCCCCCCCCCCCCCCCCCACCGAGCCGCCGAGCAGCCCAGCAGCCGAGCCGTAGCCGAGCCGCTGAGCAGCCCAGCAGCCGAGCCGCAGAGCAGCCGAGCCACCCGAGCCGCCCGAGCCGCCCGAGCCGCCCGAGCCGCCCGAGCCACCCGAGCCGCCGAGCCGCCGAGCCGCCCGAGTCGCCCGAGCAGCCAAGCCGCCCGGGTCGCCCAAGCCGCTGAGCCGCAGTTGCTGCAGTGCCGCCGTGCCGCCGAGTCGCCGAGTCGTCGAGCCTGCTTTTCCCACCACTGGTGAGCCCCTGCCTTACTAGCGCGCTGCCTACAACTTGCTTGGCTGCCTGCCTTATTGCTGCTACTCCTACTCCTGCTTCTACTAGCGGCAGCCAGATGCAGCTCCAGCGACGCCCACGCGCGTCTCTCACGCCCCAGCAGCTTCGTGAGTGGTACGCTCAGAGTAGAGGGTCTCTCAGTTCTGTTCGCTGCTCTTACGTGATTCGCACTGGTGCTCGGACTGGTCAGCCTTGTGGGACGCCTAGTCATACACCGTCCCGCTGCTTCGCCCGTCTGAACGACGCCTGGCGTACCGAGTTTGGCGACGAGGCTGAGCTCCCCGACCGGGTGGAGTTGCTTAGGCAGAAGGTAGATATATTTGCTCTTGACTATGATGCTATTCTCACTGCCATGTATGCATTGCCTACTAGTGCTGACCGTGCCGGTCACCTGTGCGTACCGCCTGACCCGGGTATAGAGCCTGCTGCTCTAGCTGCTGGTGCGGCTGCTGCTCTGGGTGCTAGTGTGTCTCCTGCTCCAGGTACAGGTGCGGCTGCTGCTCTAGGTGCTAGTGAGTCTGCTTCCTCAGGTGCGGGTGAGTCTGCTCTCTCAGGTGCCGCGTCGGCTCCGGCCTCTCACACCTTCACCCTTGACTCGGGGGCTTCCCGCTCCTTCTTTCAAGACTGCACCACACTCACGCCGCTTGGTCGGCCAGTTGCAGTCTCTCTGGCAGACCCCTCTGGGGGCCCTGTCCTTGCTCACTTCTCCACTGTCCTCCCGTGTCCGGCGGCCCCCTCTGGAACCCTGTCTGGTCTTTACCTCCCATCGTTCTCTACGAACTTGGTGAGTGGTGCTGACCTGCAGGATGCGGGGGTTCACCAGTTCACTCCTGCGAGTCAGCGGGTGACCCACTGCACAAACGCTCGGACAGGCCGACACCTGGCCACGTTTACTCGTCGGCCGAGGTCGAGCCTGTACACTCTGACCACTGCGTCTCCTCCAGTTACTGAGTCTAGTAGGGTAGCTGCGTCGGGTCAGGTGTTTGCTGCAGCGTCCAGGTCTGGTTCTGAGTCTGCCCCCTGTTCGTGTCGTCTCTTGTCTCACGAGACTCTCCTCTGGCACCACCGCCTTGGTCACCCCTCTCTGCTTCGGCTCAGAGGCATGGCCTCTCGTCTTCTTGTTTCTGGTCTCCCCCGGTCCCTCCCTCCCCTTCCTCAGGGCCCTGGCCCTACCTGTGTCCCCTGTGTCGAGGGGCGCCAGCGTGCTGCCCCTCACTCCTCCCAGTTTCCTCCGACAGAGGCCCCGTTGCAGACGATTCACATGGACGTGTGGGGCCCAGCCCGCGTCCGTGGACAGGGTCACGAGCGCTACTTCCTGCTAGTTGTTGACGACTACTCGCGTTACACCGCAGTC